GCGCCGATACTGATACTGCTATTAGGTTCTATACCAAAATGAAACTAAATTATAAAAGGATTAATTCTGCGCCGTTATTTTCTTAAATGTTAATAAAAGGTACCGCACTGATTTAAAAAAATATATATATTAATAACTGCATTGTAACTGAGAAGCAATTGAACAAACGCATATACTTTATTCAAATATATATAGCTGTTAGTCACATAACATCAAGTCAAGTCTTAGAATTGTCCAAATCAAATAAAATATGCATTAGAGACATGTTACATTATTACTTAAAAGTTAACAGGACATAAAATGCATCGGTCGACAGATAAAAAATAACAGTACAATATAAAATATTAACAGTGTCCAATCATCCCAGAAAGTTTTAAAGTTCTCGCCAAAGCAAAGCAAGTGCAAAGGTCGAATCAAAGACAGCAATAAATACATCTTAGAAATATTAATATTTATGTTGAACATTTCAAATAAACACGACCGTAAACATTTTAGTGTTTTATGAACGTGCGCTTAGAAAATGTTATATTACGAAAATATATTCGTCATCATGAGAGATTTGAATAATTAATCTTTAAATTTTCTTATAGTAAAGCATTAAATGAGGTCTGTCTTAGTCATCAAAGCATACATTTATTGTTTGCTCTAATCTTAAGTCTCGGATTCAATTTAATGCCGGGTTATCGCGATATTCCTCAGTTGTGCTTTTAGTGATCTGCATTCTGCCAACAGATTTATTTACAAGCTCTGACACGTTTTAAATAATAAAGGGTAAAGGGTAAAGAATAAAAAGTAACATTCAAAATTACTTTATTGGACTGTATTTCAGCGAATAACGACTAATTGCTGTGAAAATTTGTATTTACACTGGATTAGCCATTTCATTCGCACACACGCATTTTAATGATTACATTCACTAATCACTCTTTCATTCACACATTGGTCGAATCCTTACTTCCGCTTGACCCCTTCCCTTCAGTCTACGATCGATCACCGCATCGATAACAGTGCTGTGCGCCCGAGTTCCCGCGAAAATCTCCAAAGAAGAGAATTTCATCATAATTCTTAGTCCCGCATCCATAAAGCTCGGAAAGAGCAAGTGATTCCTGTGATGGTGTGTTCATGAAGTTGATGCTACAGTCGGTAATAGTAGTAGTTTAAGCAGGAATCATGAAGGACGGAACTAAGCTCAAATTCTGTTTAAGGTTGCAACAGGGTTGCATCCTCTCTCCAACATTGTTTAAATATACGGAGTATAAAAAATGTGAAGCATTGGCTACAAACCGTTGAAGAATTTTCGGGACCGCTAAACAGCAAAAAAGAAGAGCTTTAGAAATGTCAAAGACTTTATATAGATTTATCTTGTCTCTTCATAGTGCAATTAATAATAACAAACGTAATCCGTGACTGTGACTAAGAAAATATTTTTAGAATAAGAATATTATAATAGGTTCTAATGTTTTATTCCAAACCGGTAATTTTTTTTAAATACTCAAGTAAAACTCTTTACTTTACCTTTCAGAACAGTTACTGTTAAACGGTTTTACAAATGTATATCAAATTGCGCCAGATGATATCGAAACTTTGGAGACAAAACCTGATGTTAAGTGATAACCGCCTGCCCATGGACATTTGCAACACCCGTAGGGTTGCAGATGCGTTGCCACCTATTAATAATGTGGGCGCCGGCTAGCTCACTCACCAGACGAAACGCAGAAGTACAACACTTCTTCTTTACGCCGGTCTTCTGTGAGGTCGTATAACCGGGTACTAACCCGGACGGACCTGCCCATTCGTGCAACAGCGAACACTGTTGCGTGGCCCTACCACCGTAAAAAATCAATCTCATATGTATCTTGTATTAACTGATGTTGATGCTTTCAGTCCCGAGACTATTAAAGCTTCATCTGACGCGGAACCGGTGGGTTATCCAGAACCCGGGTTTGGGTATCTCATATACTAACAACATATCGGCTTTGTCCGCTCTTGCCGCGCCACAAAGAGCCGTCTCTGTATTGGTGAACGTATATTAATTCCGTAGCATTATATTTCCGTCATTAAGATAACTATGCCGATGTGTTCGTGGCGTAGAGCCGCGCGGTACGTAGGTGATGCCGGAGCGCGGTGCAGTTAATTTTATTGACATTTTTATGTACTTTCTCTAACTGTAAGGTTCACATACTACGCGTTCATGTTTCACAACGAAATTCTTCGAGCGGCTCTTGGTCGTGCGTCGCGTTCTGACTACCGCTTATCGATTTTACTTATATTTATATTATAAATATATCTTTTGTCACAGTTTACAAACTTACAAGCGTACTTGTATATAATCTGGTGTTCTTTGAAGTGTTTCTTGTCTCATCCCTTACAATTGTATAAATATTTCCGACTTATTAATACAATTATGAGTACAAAACGATTTTTTTTTTTAATATTTATAAACAATTCTTCAGTTTGTAAAATAAACAATTATTTTACAAATTTTTAATATATGGATAGTCACAACATTATCCAATCTTTTTAAATTTAAGATTGAATAAAGAGAATACAGTACAAAAGAGATTTTAATCGTTGAGAATGACAATGCCGTGTCGTTTAAAAAAGTACGTTCTAAATTCAAAATTTTGTGTTATGCTGGTTTTTTAAGTAAAAAAACTTCTTAGTACACATTTTTGTAGCGGATTACTTTGCCGTTAATTACTATCTCATCCTATGAAGATTGATTCAAAAATCTTGCCGAATACTGAAATCACCGGCATAAGCCTGATGCACTTGATATCACAAGATTTTGGTATTCGGGCGGCTCTGGTTTTTCGACGTACGGGATAATCTGAAATTCTAAGCGACGAGCGGTACAAATCAAGCAAAGGAACATTCCGTATGCCATCTGACCCAGTCGAAACGAAAGGTTAAGCGTTTTCTAAACTGCAAGTTTCCAAGTATCTCTCGATGTCGGTTAGCGTGGGGTCCGCCTAATAAGATAGCCTGCCTTCTCAGGATCTAAACGTAGACCTTCCCTCTGAATGGAACTAATTACGACAGCCGCATCCACCCCCTCAATTACAGCCGCTGCAAATAAATCTATGGACTCAATGTATGTGATGACTCCGTGGCGCCGTTGCCAAGGTATTGGCTTCGGCGTCGGGGGTCGTGGGTTCGATTCCCACACGGGACAACTGTTTGTGCGAGCCACAGATAGTTGTTTCGCATCTGGGTGTTTGTCCTCGTGCAATTTATGTTTGTAAAACGTCCTTACAACACAGGATAATGTTATCCTAAAGTGAGGGCAATGTTTTTTAGAAAAAACAAAGAAAAAAAAATAAAAAAAAATGTTATTCCTCTTATGCCAAAAATGATCTTGTATAATGAGAGAAAACTATTATTACTACTAATACCTCAAAGTATTATCGATATTACCCGCCTTACGTTAGCCTTACGTATTATCTCATATACACGTATTATCTCTTAACACTTTAACAATAAAGATACTCATACAAACATTGCTAAATTTAATTGTTTTTCAGAATCTGACATCGCCCAAAATTGTCCCGAATAATTTGATATGCATTGTAGATAGATTGCATAAAATAACTACACGCATATACGATACTGCTAAGAATGAGGTATTGCACGTAATTATATTGTTAATTTAGGGAGTTAAAAACAAAACACATATTTTCAACTGTTAGGAGGGAATCAGAGGTACTTAGATATATCAACTTTACAACAAGCGTATTTAAAATAGATCGGAAAGGATGGCATACTCAGACATATGGTCACAAATAAACTAATACCGTGGTGATATCAAGCTCTTGGGTTCTGGCTAGCCCGCCAGCTCTGCGTTCGATAAAGCGTCAATAGTCTGTGAACTGGAAAAAATAAGCAAAAAAAATATTTATAGTTAACATATAATATCATAAAAAATAATAATCAGAAAAACCAAAAGAATATATCTTCTCGTTCAGCTCAAACACAAAAATGCAATAGCGGAGACAACACGCGTAATGCATGACCACGATATCTCATAACCGCGCCGGTTGCGAGCCGCGATGCCAAGGAATTCTCTCACCTTCATAAATTATTAACGGCTCGCCTTTTGGGACTTGGCGTACCCGAACTTTGTTTACTAAAGTATGACAATGCGTTGCGAAGTCGCATGCACCTGACTCCTACCCCCGCCCCCTCCGACGCACCCCCCTCTCGCAGCCGCCGACAAAAAATCATATCATATCTCGTTACCCGAATCTGTATTATATTGTTGCCTCCGAAACGGTCGATGTGCGTGAAAACTTTGGATGCGGCAAAATAATACAGTGGAAATTATTGTAATACAAGTTCTCGATTGATTTTATGACAACGGTTAGCATTTTAGAAATAATAAGAGTTTAACACACATGCTAATTCTTAAACAAAGAAATATGTGTTCAGTTTTAAGTCCTCTATGGCGCTTTTTATATTACTTCACAACCTACCTGCTGCAAAATGTAGGAATTCTAAAGAAAAATATCAGAAACATTCTTACATATTATTCACTTAGCTGCATTGCATTATTAAGATGTCCAATCCCAAAAAGTTTATTCGTGTTATTACATTGTTTTGACAATTTCTTGATAAACGACCACACGCTAACGGTATAAGGATAGCCGTATTTTATTATTTCATTAATGGATATCACACTAGTATATATTAAGAAAAGATACACGTCAAATATATAAATATTTGACAAGGCTTTGAGGCATGATGGAAGGTTCGCACAAAATTGGGAATGGGATGATCGCTCCTAAGCCGTTACAACAAAAAAAATATCATGTACTGCATAACAATATAATAGTATGAGGAAAAGCAATGCCAAAAAAGAGGATACCTAGTTTCTCCTCCGTTAAGGAACGGTGGTAGATTTAAAAAATGACTATCGATAGATCAAATATATATTTCTTACTTCGATGAATAAATTATTTGATTTGATTTGACAAAGTCCGCCCTGAGAGAGTTGCATCTTTATGCCACATCCAAACTACACTTGCCGCACGGATCCATGTAGCGATGCACTCTCCGACCCGAGTCACCACTCCAAATTAGACGTCGCAACCCACCACCGTCACCGCCACCCCCCCCCCCCCCCCCCACCCCCGCCGTCCATCTACTCGTGTCTACAGTCAATGTCGCATTGTGCCGTCGGTAAATACGAAAAAACCGGCCCGGGCGGGGGAATGATACGGGAAAAAAAGCCAAGGGGTACAGTCGCGTCCGTAAAAAGTGCGGTCCGCGGCGCGGTGGCCGATGGCGTTTTTACCGTGCCCTATCGCCTCGATGCGTGTGCACATATCTCCATTGTCTCGTATTGGCTCGTTCATGCGATCGTTTCACTGCACGACCTTCGGGTTCACCATGCGATGCACCCCGTTATATATGTTAGACAGCACAAGGACTACATTTTCCCCGCCACAATCTTACGATGCAGGATTTAAAGATAAATAACGAAAAAAAAATTTTTGAGCGAGCCCTTAACACAAGGGCATAAAAATTAGTTATAAACCTGTTCTCATACTGAATATACAAATAAAATTTCATCAAAATCGGTCAAGCCGTTTCGGAAGAGTAAAAACACTAACACTGAACCAAGAATTTTATATATTAAGATTAACAGCTGTTTTTTTTTTCATGAGAATAAATACAAAAAAATATGTTTTCTTTAAAGGTTACTCTTGGAAGTGCGATCCAATTTGCACTTCCGAGAGTAAAGTTCAATAATCTAAGTATACAGAGTGGCAGACGGCAGGAAGCGACAAGAATGTTGGTTGTACTACTATTACATAAACTATATAATAAAGTAATTTTCAGGTTTTATCGGGCTAAGGTAGAAATATAAATACTTTTATCAAATCTACGGTATTTTGATATTTTTTTACTTTCTACAATAACACGTATACTTACTTATTTTCACTTCTGGCTAAATAATCACAACTCTAACGATTTAATTTGTGATACCGTATGGGCAGCACTATCGAGTATACTCCTTGTTGACAGCCAAAAAAGACCATTAAATGCTATGTGCAGCTTCATTTATACCACATAGAACGACACTTCTTTTAGTGTTGCTAACACGGCGTTGCGTTTTAAAACTGCCAAAAATTTATTGTCACTAGGTTTCAAGATAGATCAGATTTGTATCACTGTCGGACGTATTAACGCAGTGGTGGGCATTCCATTTGGGTATTGCTTGCCCACCATTCTATCCCGTGGCAGGTATACGACAATTCTTCTCCATTTTAATAAACCCGTAAAACGCACATTAAAAACGACCAGCCTACCGCGTATTAAAACATTAAGGCCGCGACGACCGACAGCGTGTGCGCGGAATGCTAACTTTGGTTATCTTTAATATTGTGTGAAACGCAACAGCTAGGGTTGCCACTGTTTAACGACTTAAATCGTTAAAATATAAATGGTGATATAGACACTTGCAACAAACATTTTTTTTCTTTTCGTATGTATATTTGCGAACAAGTTTCTTTATGGTAATGATAATAATAATTTAGCTTACCTACTACGAATAAGTATACTCATGACTCAGAGAAATTACAAATGCGTCAACGTCCTTTACAACAGGACTTTTTTTTGGTACAAGGAGACTCTGTTTTCAATCTGAAAACACTGTTTTGTCACAAAATGTCTCCTCTTTTCACTCATAATATATTTATAATTTTACGAAACGTTTCAACGTTACAACTTGACAAACGGGACAGTTATGTGTAAATTAGTGTGTGTAATTGTGTGGATATAGGGCGTAAGTTAATGTATAAATTGTAAACTTGGTGTACGTCGAAAGTAGTGTCGACCATGCGACCAATTATCACCATGTTTGTGCCCAAATATGCACTAGGTAGTCTGTTTTAAAAAAAAATATAACAAATATTATTTCACAGCTTGGTAAAATTGATCTTGGCATGTTATGTTTATCTTATCCTTAGCTAAATACGAGAATAACTCGTAATTGACAGAACGCTTTAATTTGATGACAACAAAATGTTGAAATCACACCGAACCAATTACGCACAGTCGCCAACCCTACGGTCCGTACTCAAATCTCAGGTACACTCTCTTATCGCGCCATCTTTCCACTCAAATTATTTGTTTCCTCCCGACTTCTGCCTAAATACGGAGCAGTCTGAACCGGCGATAAACGACTCTAAAACCGTAGCCATAAGGAAAGTTAAACAGCACCTCGTGCTGTCAGAAAAACTCAAGATCTTACCTTTGTCGCCGCGTGATATTTCATTAGAGCCGGGAGATTAACTTATTAAGGCGGGTCGTGTTTGTCCGCTTGTTTTTTGCATCCGAACGGAAAGTGCAACGCGATCGTGGTACTTCAGTTTTTTATGTGTCGACTTGCCGGCGATATTTGCTTTAGTACTGTTTTATTATTGAGCATTGAAGTTTTTCAACCGACTGCAAAAAGAGGATGTTCTTAATTCTACTGTTTTTTTATGTTTGTTACCTCATAACTTTCGACTGGGTGTACCAATTTTGGTGACTCTTTTATTTGAAAGCTGGTGCTTCCCATGTGGTCCCATATTAATTTCATTGGTATTGGATCTTGGGCTCCGTAGATACTTAGATAACTCCTAAAAATCAATTGTAAAATGAAAACAGAGCGAGATTTTAATTCGGTTTTGTTTTCCTTTATTTTTATAAAGAAAAACAAAACCGAACTTGAATATCAAGTGTTTGGTCGTTAACAAATACTTGAACTAATGTTGCCTTAAAAACTTTGGTTTAGGCGAGATACGGCCGGTTTCTGAAACACTGATCATCGTAGAAATTAACTAATCAGCTGTCAAATGGCTTTTAAAATATTATTTGAGTTGCCAAAAGGATGGTTCAACTCTCTGAATTTATGATCAGAATGATCTTCTTTAGTTATTTTTTTTATTTTTATTTATATATTTATTGTACACAAACACAAGGTACAAAAAAAAACTTAACTTCTTTATGATTAGTGTTTCAGAAACCGGCCGATAGTCTTTGAAACTGGATTTTTTAAGGTAAAGCCCCAGAAAACTCGATAAATTAAACCCTTCGTGGCTTTTTCGATAAGTTATATGTTAGTTTAAATTATCTAAGCTGACACGAGTGAGGGGATGAGGGATTTTTCTAATACGTTCATCCTGTTTTCGACCGAAAAAGTTTGAGGTGCCTGGATATGGACAAGATGGCAGATGCCGGCAAATTTTGTTATTAGTTCATTCATTTCAGCGGATAATTTGAACAGGACCTTTACTTTATCACGTATTAGAATCATAAAATAGCTAAATAGTTTCTTTCGCTAAGTTGAACATAGCATTAATAGAACATACAGTTGAAAACAAAGCGATCTTAGTAAAAAAAAATATTATACTTTATAAGCCTACAAATCAAAACAGGACGGTTGAAACAAATGACACATTTTTTTTTTTGGAAAATAACATTTTAATACCGAATTTTGAGGATTATCTGAATTTATTTAATCAAATATCAATGCACGAATATTGTAGACATATGGACTAAACGGTTTCGTAGCAGAAATGCTCTATTCTTATTTTTTATTTTTATATCAGAAGATGCAGGGAAGCCAGCGAGCAGGCGGTTCACCTGATGTAAAGTGATAACCGCCGCCCATCGATATTAGCAACACCCATAGGGTTGCAGGTGCGTTTCCACCTAAATAAAGGGGGCCCTGGCTACCTCATCCACCAGACGAAATGCAGAAGTGTAATACTTCTATTCGTTGAGTGAGGTAAATGATCAACGCCCCGAGCGTGTTATAGTTCATGGATGGTGTTTATTAACTTATTTGCCACCTTACCCAACAAAAAAGAATTCAACCAAATGCCACACAAACAAAGAAATTACACATCAGGACCAAAGCATAATCTACAGCAAAAAACCAAAAAAAAAATCTTGTCGCATCAACATCAATTAGTACGTAAACAGCTTTTTAGCCAGCGAGGGGGGTCGACATCTGCCACTATCGACTAAAGCGAAAAAAGGTAAAGAGCGTGCAACAGGATGCGCTTAGGTGGCACGCGCTAAACCAGCGCCGTGCACCTGCCTCCGCCCGCAGTGGTGGCAATTGTCAGACGGAAGGTGACCCCCTTCTACGGTGTTGCCAACCGTGGGCAATTCGTCCGATCCGGGGAAAATTTGACATGCGCAGACCTGACCGGTTGTATTTAACATGTACTTGCTGTGCCCGTCACAGGCGATGACGAAGACGAGCGATGCAATATGTGTATATGCACAGACTGATTGTTCATCTGTTGTCCGTATCTTTTGAGATGATTATTCAATCTCAACGGCAATGTCCTCATCACTGCTGTTTGTAATAGAGAAGGAATCACAATCACATATCACTATCATTACATAGTATAAAACAAAGTCGTCCCGCTGTCTGTCTGCCCCTTTATATGCTTAGATATTAAAACTACGCAACGGATTTTGATGCGGTCTTCTTTAATAGATAGAGTGATTCATGAGAAAGGTTTATATGTTGTATAATTCGTGCATAATTTAACAGAGAAACACTGATAATTTTAGAGGTGTCTAATACGATGCCGACAAAGAATCGTTCAGTCGCTGGTGTGTAATAATTGGACGTTGACTGATCCTCCATTACATTTAAAATAAAAACTTAATCCAGTTTCATCGCTTCTGGACGGTGGGGGTTAATCTTTGCGAGTGTTCACTAATAGCAGTTCTTCCGGGAAACTGGTTCGGGCTACATATGGCAGCCCCACGTTTAGTCGCAGGATGCACACCCGGGCCACGGCCAAGGTCACTGTGACCCATATCCCCACAAAAGTCCGCGGCTCGCCACGCGCCGCGCACCCTTTCGCCAGAAAGCGTTGGACTAATGTTATCCCGTAACGAAAATGTCGAACGCTTTTGAGCGTGCCTAGTTGATACGACGATAGCATTATTACATAGATCACCTTAGATTGGATGCTCGGAGATAGATTATGGATAAAATCCAGAAAACACAAAATAAAAAGTGTGTATGTGTGTGTGTGCGCTTATGTACGCACGTAAGAAGTTATACTTATTTGGCGTAACAAAAGAAATATTACTAAAAATTTATGCCCCTGTATGCCCCAATAAGTATAACTATAAAAAAATTATAGTTACTAATAATATTTTTTTATGTGTGAACTTTTTACATTCTTTACACTGTAGCCGTGAGGATGAAAAGTTTCTGATCACATCAGATAATTCGCGTTAGTATGGCAACGTTTTAAATCGATTGTTATAAATTTATTTTATCTGTGATTTATTGGAAAGTAGACACAACAGAGCAAATGTTTATTTAATAATGGACAAAATCACTAATTTTGAGGTCTCATGTGGTTCCATAGTTCAGATTCATAGGTAGGCGAAAAGTTTGTTTCAATGCAAGAGTGCAGGATAATGCTCGAAGGCAAACCGTCGC